TTCAGCAGGCTGTCACAGGAGAAAAGAGCTCAGTTTCTGTAGTTTAAACCAAATCAGGACCAAAGCACTGTATTGACGTACTAATGGCACTTAGTTATCCGGCAGTCATGCTTCCCTTATGCTTCTGTTCGTGCTGGCTCCTTTTTTTCCAAGTCTCTAATTCCCCAGTTATGGTTTAATCTGCCTGCTGCTTCTTCTTTACCGTAAGCAGTTTGGAGCAAATGCCCAGTTATGCGTGTTTGATCCAGGTGCATGTGGGCACACACGCAGTTTATACTCATGTTCTTCTCTAAGCAGCTGCTGTTACCCATGCCATTTACTAAGGGTGGGCTCTGCAGGCGCCCCCCCATGCTGCACTAACAGTTATTGCCCTCAGTGAATAGCACGGATAGCTTTTACAGTATTTTCTTGGCGGTCCCCTCTAGCCCACAGACTGCAGCAGTGGGACGTGAGGCTGCATCTCAGCAGTGAGGGTGTGAGTGCCTGCAGATCTCTGTCTTCAAGGGACACAGGCACTAGGCTGTAGCTGCCATAGTATTGGAGGGTGCTACCATAAATAAGGCATAGTTTAATTAAAAACTGCCATTAGATATAATTTTCTCAATGTGATTTTAGGGCAACACAAAACTCTTTTGGTAAGGGCCAAACCCGATACATCTTCTACAGTCTGAGAGGTTAGGAAGTCTTTGGTAGTCTTTGGTATTTAATCATTTTTGAGAGAGGAGAAGGCAGAACTGAGATACTGGCATGTCAGGAACCACTGAAAAACAGAAGCAGGTGAGAAAATTATCTCCTGGTTTTCCATAAAGGCAGTTGAAGGTTTTATGCATAGAGTAAAGTCAGGCAGATATTTGGTGACCAAAGGAAAATTCACTTTTGATTTCTGTAATCTGTTATTCTCCAAACAGAAATAAGAACGTGCTTGAAAGAAAGTTACAGTGGTTTGGCAGCCCTCCTGTAAGGTTGGGTAGTATGATTAATTCTCTGTGGTTTGTAAGACTCACATTAGAAAGTTAGCTCTTAAATGTTAAGCTTGGCCAGTGAAATTCCCTCCAGGCAAAGACCCCGTGTCTCCCTCGAGCTGTACCGTGGGAATGGGCCCAGTGCAAGTGTGGGTGGTGTCAACGCCATCCTATTCCCAACGACGACACGTACTCAAGGACGTAACCGTTTACTATGTTTTGGACACTGTAACTACAGCTCAGCTGAGGCAGAGCGTTCTGTGGCAAGTCTGCTTACCAGCTGATGCAATTCCAGTGACATCCGAACGTCATCTCCTATGTAAAACATAAAGCTGAGAATATCTGAATTTGAACTGCCGTGCCTGGGAAGACAGGATGTTTTTGCATATTTTGAAATTCAGGGGAATTTTCTTCTCCTTGCTTAATAAACTTTCTTCAAGTTTTTTAAACCCCTCCTTGGTGTTTTATGGCTACCAGTGAATTAACAATTAACTAAACTAACGAGAATAAACCCCCTATGTAAAACATAAAGCTGAGAATATCTGAATTTGAACTGCCGTGCCTGGGAAGACAGGATGTTTTTGCATATTTTGAAATTCAGGGGAATTTTCTTCTCCTTGCTTAATAAACTTTCTTCAAGTTTTTTAAACCCCTCCTTGGTGTTTTATGGCTACCAGTGAATTAACAATTAACTAAAGTAACGAGAATAAACCCAATGCTGTTTGTGATGAGCATCAATTGAAATTAAGCAATGAGAACAAAATAACTGCTATTTTTCCTAACATCTCAAGCTGGCACAGGAGGATGTAGTAAGTAAGGTCTTTTCATTTCACATGTGCACTGTTACAGTTGCACTGCAAATGTTTTAATTCCATGTCTCACTGATTGAGCCGTAAGCAATTTTTGCACATTTGACGTCATATTAGTGTAATTCCAGCGTGCTGTGGTGGAGTGCTCCACAGCACGTGGGTTTTACGCAGGCTCTGCACATCTCAGCTCGGGTATGAGTGGCATTCTTCACTTGGAAAATGTTGGTCTTGGAATTGGTCAGGCAGTCAGAACTGAGCAAGGTGGTGCGCTGCCAAAAGCGGTTCCTTTGAAGGAGAGGCAGAAACTCAAACTGTCGTGTTCCCAGTCTGTTATGAACATCAGGTGAACTGCAATAGCATTGCTCACCGGTTCAGGGTAAATCATTTTAAATGCAAAATACAAGTGTGTAGTTGGTTTCTACATCTCTGCTAAGAGGCTGTCACCCTTGGTGGCTGTCTGAGCATGTCCTCTGAATTGGTGATACTTTTGATACAGCCATGTTGGATGCTCTACAATTGTAGATAAGATATGTGGGTGGATTTCTCAGCCTCTCCCTAGCCCATGGGGTTAAGCAACCTCTGGATTCATCTGGCTAAAGGGGAGCTTAAAAAGTCTGTGAGCTAGGGTTTTACACTGGAAACTCATCTGTCACAGTGGTCACGTTCGTCTGAACACACCAGAGGAGCTGCAGCCGTACATCACCACTGTCACAGGGCCTGGGCAGAACCCTTCCCAAGATGAAATGGGAAGGGTTGAGGCTGGACCTTGGTGCAGGTGGCAGGTCACAGACAGGAGAGGACAGTCAGGGTGTCCTTGCTCAGAGTGCTAGCACCCATCTCTGACCGGCTTCCTACTGTGTATGCCATGGCTAGGAAGGGTGTGGTGCAGGCCAGAGTGCCCCTTGCCTGTGGGGGTGCTCCTGAGCAACGGGTCTCAGTGTGCACTGATGACTGGCTCTGCCTGATCTCTTCAGCTCCCAGAGCTGTTTAACTGTCTCCTTAAACTGCTTTTGCCGTCAGTAAAATAAAGAGTTTGTACTGTTCTCACTTCTGCTCCTGTGTGGCGGCCCTTTTGGGATAAGCATTCCTCCCTCACCTAGCTGGAAGCCAGTTCTGTGCATAGAATTGTAATACAGTGTCTGCGTCTGGTTTAATTTCAGAAAGCTAACATACCTACTGAGAGTCATCCTTCAGCTCATCTGCTGCCCCGTTCTCAGAGCTGTGGAAGGGGGAGTCTGACCGTTGGCATTAACCCCTCTGCCCTGCAGTACTCACCTGGAGAGTTGGGTCATAGAGCCTCAAACAAGAACCGCTGCTTTTGTGCTAGTTGCTTTGCAGGAAGCTGGCTAACATATTATTTTCTTTACAAGCTGGGAGGCTACTGACCACGCAAGCTGGCATTCGGCAGTTGATGTGCAGATATAGCCAAATACCCTGTTCCTGATTTTCTGCTTAGTAGCAGCAATGCCCCTGTGAGCAGAGTCAATAAGAGGAAATCTTTGATGATAGAAATTTTTTTGCTTTCTCTCCTCTCAGAACATCCCCACCTTGGGAAGCGTAGCAATAACCATGGCGCTCCACAACTGTGATGAGGTGGCGGTAGCTGGGTTTGGCTATGACATGAGTTCACCCAATGCACCGCTGCACTACTATGAGAACATCAAGATGTCTGCCATCAAAGAGGTAGGGAGCTCCTGCCGAGCACATCTTCCCCCCAAGCCCGCTGACCGCCCCGACTCCAGAGCCTGACTGGGATGGTGATGTCAACTAACAGTTTTCCTGTATGGATCAAAACAGCTCCACCGAGGCATTTGCCTGTAAAATTCTAGACATTCTCCCAAGTGCAATGTGTGTCAAAACCAGTTATTTCTGCTGGGAAAAAGTTCTCTGGAATGTGTATATAATGTGATTCCTTCCTCGAGCAGCAGGGAAAAGGTTCACATAAATGTTAACTTGCGTAGGGTGAAAGGGAGCAATTCTGCTCTGGGGTTGAAAAGATGTGGCCGCCTGCTGCTTTTTGATCCATTGTCTTGCTCCCTAATCCATAGGCTTCCTTTGCTAGATGATCCCTTCCTCAGCCCCTGTGAAATGTGGGGGAGGTGAGATTACCCCGTGCGTGTTATCTCTCAGCTGACTGTTGAGCAGCAGTCAGCAAGTGTAAACACATCAGACTGCTCTTTAAAGCCAGGTTCTACATTAGAAGCATTTTCTGGTGCTATGACAGTGAGATGAACAACATTTTGAGAGGAGCAAAAGCTCTTGTGTTGATATAATGCAGCAGTATAAAGATGCTCTTTCAGGTCTGTCCATGTCCTGTACCAAACTATAGCAGATTTGGCCACTAGTCAAAGCTTGTATAGTAGGAAGTTTTGCTGCTTTTTTGTTAGAGTTTAATCTTCCCCAGCACAGATGTGGCCCAGGTCTTTCTGAGATTGCTTCCCCCTCTTCACTGGCTCCTAGATAGAGAAACTTTCTCCATCCTACTCCACGTTGTGAAAAGTTGTATTGTTCATGGACAGTAGCTGTCTCCTGGCACTTGGCATTTGTTCACCTCAAGCAGTTTGTCATTGATCCAGGCCAGGAGGGAAGCTGAGAAGTTGTGCTTTTCCAAATCACAAGATTGTGCATGTCTTAGGACTCTCACAGGCTGCAGGCAGCATGACCCTAGGCAGACTGAGAGGAATTAGAAATCAGTGATTAGTCAGCTTGAGAAATGAGAAGAGCCTGTCTAATTATCAGAGTAATGAGGCTTTGGAACAACCTCTCAGAGGAAGCCAGGAGAACAAACTGAATTTGGGAAAAGACTGTGACGAGTTCCCCAGTATATTGAGGGACTGGACATTGTGGTCCTGAGGTACCTTGTGGACTGTGGAGGTGGCAAGAAAGTCTGCCTTGCTCAGTGAAATAACCATGGATTTAATCTGTCCTGGCTGGGAAAGTGAGTGCCCATTTACAGGACTTAAAGGCTACGTCCAGAGAGAAAAACTGAATTGAGTCACAACATACAGAAATGGTGTCTGGCTTGTGAAATCCCCGAACGGAAAATAGCTGAGGGAGCAAATCCAGAGGAGGCCACGAAGGTGCTCAAAGAGCTGGAGCACCTCTCCTGTGAGGAAAGGCTGAGAGAGCTGGGCTTGTTCAGCCTGGAGAAGAGAAGGCTCTGGGGAGACCTTATAGCACCTTCCAGTACCTGAAGGGACTGACAAAAAAGTTGTGGGGAGACTTTTTACAAGGGCCTGTAGTGACAGGACAAGGGGTAATCAGTTTAAACTGAAAGAGGGTAAATTTAGATTGGATATCAGAGAAAAATTCTTCCCAGAGCGGGTGGTGAGGCAGTGGGACAGGTTGCCCAGAGAAATCCCTGGAAGTGTCCAAGGCCAGGCTGGATGAGGCTTGGAGCAACCTGGTCTAGTGGAAGGTGTCCCTGCCCATGGCGGGGGGGTTGGAACTGGGTGGTCTTTAAGGTCCCTTCCAACCCAAACCATTCTATGGTACTGTGATACCATTCTTGCGGTAGTAGAGGAGGTATCACCATTGACTTGCCCCGTTCTGACTCTTCCCCGGGTGTCTGTTTATAAGCACTGCCTGAAGCAAGACCCTGGGATACCCAGGGTCAGTGGAGGTGGGTCCGTAGTCTTCCAGCAACGACACAACTACACCAGAGTGAACATGGATGCAGATGCCAGGCTCCAGCAGTCAGGATAGAGACCATTTGTGAAAGTTTCAGGAGAAGTTTTTGTCTCTGTGATGCCACTGCGTCCACTGTAGTGAATCAGCTGCCTTTGGAGGGGAGTCGTTCTTGCTGAGTTGTTCCTCCTGTCTCATAGGATGTCAGTCCCACGGTCTGCTCTTGGACATGGGGACACTCACAGTGGGTGTCTGGTGCCAAGCCTGGTTTGCAACCTGGTAGCTGTCTGTGACCTCAACAACACCTACACAGAAACTGGCAAATATGAAGTTGTCTTGCTCTTGGTCCTTACGTGGATCAGTGGGAAACGTTGGCAGAAAACCTTGGATGACAGAGCCTCGCATTGAAGTCGCCAGTCCAGATCACCTGGATCTTTGGTTCTGGAGGCCAGCACCCTGATGCAGAAGCCGGTGGAAGACAGGAGGGAGTCGCTCTTGGACACTGTATGTGATCTCAGGAATAAACCTTTCATGGCACAGGGCAGCAGATGAGGATGAACATGTGAAATGCAACCCATAGGGCCTCCTGGAGAGACCAGTTGGTGCCTGGTTTGTCAGGCCTCAGCTGTCTGGAAGCTGTCAGTCGTGTTCAGGATGTTCTGTACAGAGGTGAGGGAGCGTTGAAAGGTTCTGGTGAAGCCTCACTAATTCAGATGTCAGTGGGTTTGTTTCTGCAGCCAGGGCTGTTGCCGAGAGCTCCACAGGCCAGCGGAGCTGGTTCTAGGAGGAAGGTTCCTGTTCCACTTGAAGGCTGGTTATCTGATATGTGTCTGCCCATCTAATCCTCACATCCTCACCCACAGGCTCCTCTTACGTTTCGCTGCGCTGGTACAAGAAAAGCCATCTGTTCCCACGTATCAATAATGAATGCTCCTCCTGCCTCTGCCCCTCCCAATATGACAAATTGTTTGTGATATTGTGGAATGTGAAGAGCAGAGAGAGGATTGCATTTCTTTCTTTCCCATTTAATATTAATGGCAGCTGGTAATTGTTAGTCACCTGAGGGTGACGTTGAAAGGTGAAGGGCATGATAGTTGGGTTGTGTCTTCTGCAACTGCCCTCAGAGAACACACAAATGGAGGTTTGCCCCAGACTGGACAGGAAGCACCCTGCACACTCTGCTTGGAGAGAGACCTGCATGTGGTTTGCAAATCGGGAGGCTGCCCTGCATTAGCAACTTGTGCCAAACTGTTGCCCTTGGCACTAGTGAAAGAAGACTGGCCCAGAGCCAAGCTCCACCAAGGTTTTTGTCTGTTCCTTCTGCTCTGACACCCAAAGGCCCAAGAGCATCCACAGCATTTTCCTCAGTGTTGCTTGGACCTTTGGGATTGTGTCCAGATCTAGTTCTTCCTGGTCCTCCTCTACATTTCAGCCTTCAAAGAAGCCACTAAAGCAGGCTGAGCCTTGAAATCACGCAAGTATCCTCTCTGCCCTCTGTCTGGCCTGCAGACCCATGCAGGCTGGAGTAAACGTTCCTGGGTAGGGGAGCAGGTTTGCTTAACGCAGCAATATCACAGCACTGAAACAGTTGCCGTGGGATGCAGCTGTTCCACCATAACCAACATCTCAGGCAGAAGCCACTGCTGTTTGACCAGGCTTTGGTGGGCAGAACCTCTCTGAAGTTCAAATCTTTTCCCTGACTGCTGGGCTCCTCCAGCCTGAATGGATGAAAATCTTCGGTGTTTAAGCCTGGAGAGCAGCTGCAGGGAAGCACTCCAGCTCCACCCTGGAACCATTGCTGTCTTTACAGAGGAAATATAAACACCAGCAGCATCCTGGGTCTGGAGGTGCCAAACGAATGTGTGTGACTCCTGGGAGCCTCCCCGGTAACATCCACCGATCCTCTTCTCTTGCCTGGTGTCTGCAGGGAAAAGGGCCTGCCAGCGAACATGCATCCTCTCAGCAAGGTGTATCGCCAGTTTACAGGAGGGCTGTTTGACATCTCTCTGGACACCCTTGAAACCCTGTGACTCATCTCTGAGGAATTTGTTCTGATTACATGAAAAAAGCTAGCAAAATGTGCTCGCTTGCTCACAGCTGGGCGGAGATGCCTCTCCCATGCCAAGTCTGAGGTGATAAAATCTCTGTGGAAATGAATGTGATTTTTCCTGTTGCTCTGTGGGACTGGCGGCTGTATTTCCAGGAGGCGAAACAGGCAGTGTATGGTTCTGCTTAGTCTTCACTTTCCCCACAGGGCTAAAAGTCCTCAAGGGCCTAGATTGTGCTGCGATTGCTACCGAAGGAGGCAGCTGTCTCAACTCTATCTTCCAGCATCTCGGGCTCCTGAGGGCTGGGCAGGAGTTTCCTGCCCCAGAAGAAAAGGCTCTTCGAGGAAGCAGATGCTCTGTAGCTTCATGAGTGATACCAGTCAGGGGGAAGTATATGGTCTCGAGATCCTGGTCAGAAGCACGTCTGGAAAATGTGTATGGATTCTCCTGTGTTTGTGAATGCTCATGGGAGTACATTTCTCCAGTTTAGTCCTGGATGGCTTCCTTACCCTCTGTCCTGGGTAGCTCGGTGTGCTCCAGCCAGTGTATGTCCAGGCAGACCTTGCGGAGGAGAAGACCCTTTTCTGTTCATAAGCGTGCTCCGGAGAGCTGGAAGCACACTGCTGCAGTGCTTTCCGTTTCAGGCTGTGACCTGAAAGATCAGTGCTAGCAGTGCAAAACAGCCCCTCAGTCCCAGCTCCGTTGCTCAGCACCTCCTCTCCTTGTCTCTCCTTCCCATGGCTGGGGGTGCAGAGTCCTGCCTTGCACTTCAGCAGGGTTTTCTGGGGTATGAAGGCACTTCTGTTCCCCAGTCTGTTACTGGGAGCCGCTGCCCGCTGGACCCCGTGCTGTTGTGTAAATTCTCACAGGTGATTGTTCAGCTCTGATCCTGTCCCTTTGTTTTAACTTACAAAAACGCAGAATGTCCAAGTGTGTCACCTCCCTTCAGTTAACTGTTTTCCCTATTCCCAGTAACTTTGCAACATCTTTTGACCTCTACTTCCTTCC